AGCCCGAGGGTAAGGTTCCCAAACGTGCGATTGAGTGGGGAAATCAAGAAAAAACGACCACACGTCAATGAACACCATGTCAAAATGAAATAAATTATGGTACGAATTGCTTTCTCACCCATCATTTTATCCAGATTTAGCTCCCAATAACTGTTGCCTGTTTCGGAACTTGAAAAGACAGCTCCAGAGAAAGAAATTTGCGTGAAATGCTAAAGTGGAATGGAAAACTGAAGTATATTTTGGGGGATTTGACAAATTGTATTATTCAATAGATATCCAAATGTTGCAAGATCATTGTGTCGAGCTAAAAGGTATATTAAAGCATAATATATAATTTTCTAACACAAATGCGTTTTTATTACTTAAGCCGGGTATTCATCAATCCACTTAGTATATACTCACGTTTCTGTTCTCTTCTCCTGTTTTCTAGTATATAGTTTCATCATTATATGCCATAAAAATTACAGCTCATAATGTCATTTACATTTTTATTCCATTTCCTTCTATGATGCTCAAACTTACAAATACATATACTTGTATAATAAAAAAGATAGAAAGATAGATACTTAAGAGGTAAATCCAAGACTAATTTGTTTGTCCAATGAGTATGGAGGTTTGTTTTCAAATAAATTAATGGAAAATGAAATGCATATGTAGAAATGCAAGAATTTCATTTCAAATTAAAACTTCACCATCTAATGGACACATATTTACCCATTAAAACCATGATGATTTTAGTTTTTATATTCGGAATATATTCCCATTACAGTTTGTATTGCTTACAATTATAATAAACCTATTTGGAAACTTAATTACAGTTCTAAAAGTACGTCATTTTTTCATACTAAGATTGTTGGCACTCAATAAGAATGACTTGTATTTTTCTTAGGCGGCTTATAATAAATTGTTAAACCGTTTTTATCTACTACTAAACGATAGCGTCTACTACTAAATGCGTATTAAAAATAATGCTATTTCACAATGAAATTACGAGGGAATTTTGAAGAGTATTTTATTTTGATTTATTAAATTTTAAAAATACAAAATTGAATAAATAAATATAAATACATAGAAAATATATATATATAAAATAGAATAAACATTTATTTAAAGAATCTTAATTTATCATTTAAGAATTATGGAATAAACTAATTTTTTTTGCAATAAATTAAATAAAGCATTACATATGGATAAACTTGAAAGACCTCGTCATGATTTTTATTTAGCATGCTAAACTTTTGTTAAATGATCTACATTTTGTCCCTAATATTTATCATATATTGAAACAGCTCTCTAGTAAAATCCATTATCAAATTGGCGTGTCTGGGAAATTGAAATCGAGCTAAAAACGTCTACTGACTTCGGAGTCAAATTTATTTTCTTATTGGGCTATTTAAAAAAATATTCGATGGTTACTTTACAAAATGAACTTGAAAAATAGAAATTGTATCGAAAGTTCTATTTACGACATCATAAATAGCTAAACTTAAGTGAAAGCTTTCAAAGGTCTGACAGATTTTAGTAAGTCTTCTATTGATGTACTCAAAAAATTCAGACTTATCAGTTTTTACAGATTTGCATTATTATATATATCTTGTAAATTTGCTTGATATTATCCTCTGTGTTTCATACTAAGGAAGCAAACATTCTTATTAGATTTAATTGATATTCTTTCAATCCAACTTTTAACTAATTTTATAATGTACATGAATGTTATTTGTATAATGCAGTCAGTAACCTCAGTAACCTCCAAAGGTAAAGAATATACCACTTGAATTCTTAAGAAACTTCTCTATAACAATCAAGTTATGTACAAAAATTTCAAGAAGTTACTACTTATAAGATATTTGTGGATTAAGTAAGCACTTTTCTTATACAATAATAGAATACTTAAGAGAAAAGAAGTTTAATACTTCGGAAACCCATTGTTTACTATCTGTTCAAAAATGCGGTTGAAATATAATACCACAAATTAAAGTAATAAAAAGTATTTTCTGTCAAGAATCAAGAAAAATAAATAATTTTAGTTTTTTTCAATAGTTTGTTCTAATTCAAATGACAGTAAACTGTACGAAAGGAACAATCACAAAGCTAAAGAAATATTAATGTTACCTTTTTTGTCGATAGTAACGCGTCTTAAGACGAGCCCAGCACTTGCAGCCCAAGCAGATTATATATGGACTATAAACTAATAAAATAATTCGAATATTTTCTAAGACCCCTGATGATGAGTACTTAACAATACTCAAAACAGCGTTGTATGGTCAGTCAAATTTCAATATATTAGCTAAAATTTTTGTTGTTATCTTTTCATTTCTATTTGAACCCTTTTAAAAAAATATTATTGGATGGAAATAATATAAATAAATTAAAATAAATTTTGTCTTAACAAACTATCACAATGTAATAATAATTAATATACGTATGTATGTAAAAATATGGGGTGAACAACCCCAAGTAATGAGAACATTATATACTATATAACAAAGATGTAGATGTAATAAGCATTATCTAATAACGATTGAATTAGAGTCAAGTTAATTATTTTTCAATAATAAAAATTAGGAATCAAAACATATATTTGGATCTTCTATAATTAAAAAGTACATCAGAATCTTGTGACATTCAAATGACTTTCAATAAAAAACTTAACAAAATTAAAACTTTTAATAGATTTTAAAATAGCAAAGATAACGGCTATAAATTTTTTTAATAATATTTAATATAAACAAAAAAGCCCATATAACTTGAGGAATGTAAATTAATTAATAATTTTCAAAGGTGGTTTATGGTACGATCAGTTACAAACATTACACAACAGATTATTAACTTAATGTATATGTATATAGGAAAAAAACCTAATCTTACTTTAGTCGTAAACTTTTTGCTAATTAAATACATCGTAGGTGGAACACGAAAACTTAAAAAAAAATTATCTTTTAAAATAAAGAAACTACTGAGTGAAATATATGGCTCACAATAGTTCTAAGAAAATTAAAATTAAATCTAATATATTAAAATAAGTGAGTTGAATGGGTCATAACGAGTACACAACAAGCATGTTCACAACGGTAGTCTTAATACATTACCTCAGGATCTAATGCATTATATATCTATAATGCACTATATATCTATATATATAAGGCTCAGACAAATGAAAGGATTTGTTTGTATTGTAAAATCTTTGTTAATAAGACTTTAATAAATAAAAATATTTTAGATCCGTAGATGTACCAATATATGACCAATATATTTGGATAACCGCCTTTCTTGGATAACCAGAACCATGTAATATTATAATATTAGTAATAGTAGTACTTTTAGTACTACTTTTAGTACCACTTTAGAACTACTAGAACAAGTTATATTACAATAGTAAGAGACAGATGAAGAGGATAATAAATGTTTTGCTCTGGAAGCCAAAATCACACTTTCATCTTTAGTTTCTTTACGCAAAGTTAAATCAGATGCTTACAAACTATATCCCGTAATGGTAGACTTATCCATAGAAAGATTCGACTAAATTGTGATTTGACTAAAATTGAATAATTTCATTGACAGTGAGACTCTCGCTGATATTACCGATATAATATAACTTAATTTTTTCAAAGCTTTTTTTTAACAAAAGCTGTATGTGGTAAATTGGAAACAACATAAATGTAGTTAGAATATCTTACTTTCTTTGGAAAATAAATTCTGTACAATATATACAGTAATTAAATATAGCTAGTAATTGCAAGATAAGTCTCATTTGGGTTCCTGCAAATGCAAACGAAACGGGGCGCCTGTTCGATGGAATTTCTCGTTACAAATCTTATCCCTACCAGCCAGAAGTTGGGATAATATTTCTACAACAGATAATTAAGAGCTATATAGCTTATATATTCCAAATGTAGAATCTCTGACCTAATCTATAGCAGTAAATAGAAAGTATCTGAATTAATATCGGCGTTAATGGCACACTGAACTATAGAATGGGATGAAGGCAGACAGGACCTAACCTGCACAAAATCTTGTATAACATATTTACTAGTACTCGAAGACCAGACAACGGTATACCTCTTAAATCTCCGTTCAGATTTATTCAGATCTAAGCTTATGCTTTTAGGCACACTATTTGTTTATTTACTTAATTATATGTTTCCAACATTAATATTGACCAGTTAAATGCATTTATCAATGCCCCTAGTGGTAGGACGCGGAAGATGGGATCGAAAAGGCTTTTTATAACTCGATTCTTCTTCTACTTCACCTATGTAGAGCCAGCATATGTAGTGTCTATTTCCTATTTCATCTTACTAGCTTTTGTTACTGTCCTCGTAGTTTGTTGTTACCAAGTAGCCAGATTTTTTGTTAATTAAATGCTTTGTAAATATTGGTTTATTTAAGTAAATTTATTATTGTTTTTTTTCTTTTTTTTTTTTTTGTTTTAAATCAACTTGGTATTAACTGATTAGAGATATATAAATAAATAAAAAAGGGCTGATAAAGGCAGCTAAAGATAATATTTACATAAATTTTGTGAATTAAATATGGTACGGCATGGAAGTATTTTTTAGTTAGCAAATGATGCATTTGAGTCCGGCGTAGACTAGTTGTAGACGTTGCAAATACGACTTTCAGAGTTGGACCCCCTCTAAATTTATTTCTTAAATTTAATTTGTACGAGTGTATGAATGCAAATTCGTTGAGCAAGCTATAAACAAGGAAATAATTTATGGTTGAGCAATAAATTTCAATAAAGTGCAATAAAAGTAGATAAGATGCACTTTGGGGAACAAATCTCTAGGTTAGCTTAATGTGAATTGTTTTTATCTTTAATTCAATGCAATTGAAGTAATTGCTGTACAACTCACGAAGCATACATGACGCATTCATAAAAATTTTAATTTATTTATTTCCACACATAAAATTAAGTCTTAAACTTGACACTGAATATTTGAGTAGACATTTCACTAGACAAAGAAAATTTTCCCATATAAAAGCTGTTAAAACGCATTTAAATTATATTAGAAACTTAGAAATTTAACGAAAATATTTTTATAGAAAAATGTCTGTACCGGATTGGCTTACAGAGGCGTATATGACACAGGCTTTGCGTACTCACCATAAGGATGAAAACTTGAGAATAATAGAACTACAACTGCATATAGCCATGGGAAAAGGTGAAAATTTTGGCGGCATATTGACACGTGCAAAGGTTAAGTATCAACTGAGCCATGGGCAGAAAATACTCGAAAAGTCACTAATGATTAAAACTTCTTATGAAGATAATGAATTTGCTTTAAAGCTAATGCAACCCTACGATATCTTCAATCGTGAAATGTGCATCTATGAAAATGTATTGCCTAAGCTAACAAAGCTTTTACGTGGTATAAATGACAGCGACGATTTATTTGCTAATGCCCTACATGTAGATTATGTGCGCCAGGCCATTATTTTCGAGGATCTCAGCGCAAGAGGGTATATCATGGCGGACCGTGTTACAAGGCTTGACTTACCACACGTTGAGTTGGTGCTGCGCAAATTGGCTAAAATGCACGCCACATCTGCTGTGCTCAACGAACGGGAATCCGGTTCTTTAGAAACCTATGATCGTGGTTTCTTTAATCGGTACACTAATAATTACAGTCCATATTTTGTTGGTGGTTTAATAGCTTGCGGGGAACACGTCAGCAAGTGGCCTGAATATGCTAAATATGGTGAAAAACTGTTAGCTCTTGCTCCTCATTATATGGAAATTGGTAAATGTTGTTTTGCTCCAACTCCTTCGCATATTAACGTTTTAACTCATGGTGATGTTTGGACTACAAATATTATGTTTAAATATGATGTTGACACAAAAACTCCTATTGATGTGTTACTAATTGATTTCCAATATGCATTCTGGGGATCTCCCACTTTGGACTTACATCACTTCTTCAACACTTCACTAAAGGAGCCATTACGTTGTAATGAACAAGATTATTTATTTATGTTTTATCATAAAATCTTCATAGAAACTTTAAGAAAATTAAGTTACCAGCGACATGCTTTACCCAGTTTAAAACTATTCCGACAACAAGCTGAGGAAAAACGATTTTTTGGTAAGTTTATACTATATCCAGAGTAATAATAAATTAAAATGAAGAAGTTAGAGTTCTAAAGTTGGAATATAATTCCTATTGGAATAAAATTTTAAATACCATATATATAATGGACGGTTTATTGAGATATTATTTTCAAAATATTGTGATAACATAGAAACTAGATAAGATTACGTTAATCAGGCTGTAAATCACTTATAGATCTACTAGAAAAACTAAAACTCGTTTGAATATTCTGTAAGAAGCATTTTTACAAATTTAAAGAATACTTGAAACTCTATTCTTAAGACGGAGCCAGAAAGTATTTTTTAAAGATATTTTTAAGCGTGTTTTTAGCAGGGCTTCGAACCGAAAACCGAAAGTCCAAAATCGAAAAAGCTTATATTTTTGTCGGAGCGAAAACCAGAATCGAACCAATATATTTTTTTTGTTTTGAACCGAAACAAAAACCAAAGCCCTAGTTTTTAGTCCCCACCTTAGCGTACTGTAAAGCCAGACCCTGCGTTCTAGTAAACATATAAGGTGCTATCAGGACGAGAGTGGCCCAAGTAAGTGCTGATTAGGCAACAGTTTGAATGTCTTATTGTATTAGGTTAGTAAAGATTATGATACACAATAATTTATTGCCATCGTTTACTATATTATATATCTGTTTAACATAATTAATCCTAAGAAACTTTCTTCCCTTTTTGAAATATTTTTATGAATTTTTGATATTTTGAAAGTTTTTGAATTAATATTTTTACATATTTAATAGATATTATGAACAAATGTGTTACTCATAAATATCGTTTGAATATTATAAATTGCAGCTTTACACTCAACTTGTGTTGTTCAACCAGTTATGATCAATGAGGACACCAAGGATGCAGATTTCAATGCACTAATGGGTGAAGACGAACGAGCTGTAAACTTTAAGAAGAGACTCTATAATAATAAAATAGTGCAACAGAATCTCAAAAATTTACTACCCATATACGATCGCCGAGGTCTGTTAGAAATAAATCAGTGTAATTAGGAGAAAAAATATGCGATAAAAATGTTTTTATAATCTTTAAAGAAAAATAATTATTTTATATATACAACGCAATTGAAATTTAATTGATATGTATAATATATTATTATATTTGCTTATTTATATATATAAAACCCTATTCACATATAATAAATATTTATTTTTGTACGTAAATAAAACAATTTCTATAGGATATTCATAATTTGTGCTTATAGAAACCATATTAAATTTAAGAAAAAAGTGCTTTTCGTTACTACATATATATGTAATTGAATTAAAATTAAATCTTATAAAAAAAAACAAACTTTTAAAATCAAATTCGATCTGTACTCGAAATTAATCTAACAGTAGATTGTTTTTCAACTTAACTATACATCTGTGCAATGATTATTTTATTAGTGACGGAAAGGCAAACATTTTGATTCACATTTTTGTTATCATATTATATATATATATCTATATATATATTGTTTCAAAATATCTATCTATTAAATCACTTTTTAAGAAAGTTTCTGAAGTTTATTTCTTTTTAGTAGTTCAGCATTAGCCAACATTCTGTGGAAACCTCAATTATTTGCAATCTTCTCGATCAGAAATACTGTAGAATTATAAAAATGATAAAAAGGTACTAAGCCCATTTTAATATTTTGCTCCGAGTTCTTGTTGTGTAATTAAAATTTATTTACTATCCTTGCTAGTAATCAGTACCAGCCATTGAAAAGTTTAACATGTACTATAAGGTATGTATGTTGATCCTTTTTTTCGAGTCAGTACAACTAGGCACTCTTACTCTTTAATAGCTGGGGGTACTACAGGGTCCCACCCATCTCATTGACTAATTTATGTATTCCTTATAAGCTTCATGATTATTCAGTGATTGATCTAAGATCTGCGTACCTCCCCGTGCGAAGAGTGATTACTCTAAGATTAGATAGTGGTAAGTAGGATAGCCTGTCAATTTTCGCATATAACTTCAGGCCTCTGTCCCTTATATATTTTTTGATCGGGTCTATTCTAAGGTCTCTTAGCATGTCGTTTGTGCGGATGTACCAAGGCACTTTAAAGAGCCTTCGGAGGGTCTGACTTTGAGCGACTTGTAGCTTTTGTATAGTAGAGTCGGCAGCTTTGCTATAGGCGACACACCCATAAAGTAATGCTGGTTTAATTATCTGGCTATAGATCAGTTTTCTGTTTTTTAAGCTAAGGTTGTTGTGTTTGAAAAGTGGTTGTAAGCAGTGCACTGATTTTGCGCAACTACTTCTTTTGATTTGTATATGCTTATGCCAAGTGAATCGCTTATCAAACGTGATACATAAGTATTTAATGCTATCCTCCCAATTAACCACGATGTCACCAACTCTTACTCTCGGTGGATGTTGCCTCTGTTTACGTGTAATAAACAGGGCTTTAGTTTTCTCATTGTTAATTTTTATTTTCCATTTATGGAAGAACCCCAGTATGAGATTAATATGCTCCTGCAGCGTGTTGGTCACATTTCTGGCAAGTTTATCAGAATATAACAAGCATGTGTCATCTGCGTATAAAGATAATACCGAAGGACTTAGCATTGGGATGTCAGACGTGTAGATGTTGCACAACAAGGGGGAGAGCGGGGATCCTTGAGGAACACCCCCTTCTATTCTTCGTACTGATGAGGTGGTACTGTTGATTCTTACACGGAACATTCTTTCGCGAAGGAAGCTGCCAAGGATTTTGATCAACCCGACTGGGATACCAAAACGAGACATTTTCACTATAAGGCCGTCGTGCCACACCTTGTCAAATGCCTTGGCGATGTCAAAAGTAATCATACCCGTTGATTTCCTTCTGCTCAGAGCAGACTGTATCATTGCTCATCGGGGAGAATATTCAGCGAGTTCACCGAAGTTTTAAGTCTATCTAGGATCACTCTTTCAGCTAACTTACCCAGAGCTAATCGGGCGCCAGTTCTGCGGGTATTTCGGGTCCTTGCCGGGGTTTAGGTAAAAGATATTACCGCCTTTCCTATTGGATATAAAAATCTTGTATTAAAACAAACATTTTTATAAGAATCTACTCAAATAATTAAGGATAAAAGCTATTGTACAATTTAGAAAAGTCGAAAACTGTAATGACCCTTAATTTAATAGCAGTTTCCACTATGTTGAAGTGCCTATTGGGTACGTCTAGATATAGAACTCCTATTTAAATATTTTTACTAATCATGGATCATTATTCGAAATAATGATGGCCAATAACATATACTACGCCGATATTTCGGTCTATATACAAAAAAATTACATTAAATACCCTCATCTCTCCACACTATCATTACATCACCCACCATGAATAGATACAAAAAAGTGAGCTTTACTTTTGTCGGAACTAAATATTTATTATATCAAATTTCAATTATTTGATTACTTGACAGTAAAATCTGTTTGTAATGATTTGAAATTAGCTTAAATTTTTTAAGTTTCATTAATATTTTTTTTTTTGCTTTTTGAATCCATAAATGGTATTAATAAATATATAGAACCCAATTTTATGGTAGAAGGCTGGCATGATAAGTAGAATACTAAAATTATCCCTCACACAAGGAGCTATCCATGAAGAAACCATCAACACATTAAAAAAATAGCGAACATTAACGGATACTCCCAGAACACTATCGACAGAATCATAAAGAAGAAATACAGGCAATATCATTGCAGAAACATAACGACATTAACAGCAGAAAAACCAAAACAAAGAAAAGTCGCTGTAGTGTACAACAACATCATCTCCAAAGGTCTTACGAAAAATCAATTTAAAAATATTCAATATCAACTTAGTTTACTCCAGTAAGCAATATCAACTCGAAAATCTACTACTATCCACAAAAGGTCCTTAGAAAAAGGAGAAGTATAAAAGATCAACTGCAGTTCCCGCAACAAATTATACATCGGACAAACAAAAAGACCCTTATCAGTAAGACTTAAAGAACACCTTAAATAAGCAAGAGAATCAACGAAAAACCCCTTATATAAAATCAGATTTCACCAGACATATAACAGAAAATCACCACATCGACAAAAATAACATCCAAATAATCAAAAACATAAGCTATAGCTGGAAATTAGAAACGGCAGAGAGCATCGAAATACACAAACATCAGGTCACACCTTTACTCAACGGCAATAAATGCAACGTGTCATCATGGCTTTTTAAATACATTCCAAAAACAAGCCCAAGCCCAACCGACGTAGCAGTTCACCGAACTAACTACGCATAATCGAGCCTGAAAAACAAAAGAACAAAATCCAGACCCATCGCGTCACCATTTTCACCTATCACTCTCAAGGACAAAAACTACAATAACTCTACTAATTAAAAATAAATATAAGATCTGTAATAAGTATAAATAGTTTATAATTTGCTTAGATGTTTTTAATATTAAGAATTCTTCTGATCAAGGCTCGAAATAAAGTAAGCACAGCTCAAACGTAATTATTATTATTTAAAATAATATGACCATCAAAAAAGGTGAGGAGGAGGTCTATTAAATTAAGTAAATAAATTAATATTAACAAATTTCTGTATCATCTGAAATGCTTACGTTTCCGTAGGCATTACGTTAATGAATACGTAATTGATTACAGAGTTTCCCACAAAAACAAAATCTCATCAGCTGATTTTTGTTTACGTTGCATCAGCTTTAAGTTAAGCCTTAATTTAGACTTGAAAATAAAAAAACTTTAGTATTGAAAGATAAATACTTGGTCTCTGATTTGGCATCTCGTTTGAGACTAAACAAATAATCTATTTTTTAACTACTTTCAGGTCTCTTGGTCTTACTTGGTCTCTGATTTGGCATCTCGTTTGAGACTAAACAAATAATCTATTTTTTAACTACTTTCAGGTCTCTTAGTCTTACTTGGTCTCTGATTTGGCATCTCGTTTGAGACTAAACAAATAATCTATTTTTTAACTACTTTCAGGTCTCTTGGTCTTACTTGGTCTGAGATTTGGCATCTCGTTTGAGACTAAACAAATAAGCTATTTTTTAACTACTTTCAGGTCTCTTGGTCTTGCTTTGTCTCTGATTTGGCATATCGTTTGAGACTAAACAAATAATCTATTTTTTAACTACTTTCAGGTCTCTTGGTCTTACTTGGTCTCTGATTTGGCATCTCGTTTGAGACTAAACAAATAATACTTTCAGTTTAATAAATAATAACAGAAATAATATTTTTTTACCGATGAGAGAAAAAAATCAAGCTCCCCCAGAAAAGTAAATATTTTAAAAGTAAAACCTGTGATTAACAACAATTAAAGCAAAATAAAATTACTAGACATTTGGCTCTATGAAATGAGATAAGTAATCTCAAAACTAATATTGCATTGGTGATAAGTCTGCAGTAAAAGTCTGCTTAAATATAACAAATAATACAATTAAAAATAAAACAGTATCATTATAATTTCCAAAATATAAAGATTCGCTAAACGGATTCTTTTGTATCTTCTAAGCAAAGCCAAAAACCGTGTATTCAAATGACGTCAATATGGAAGATTGCAAGTTAATACCAACTTGGTTGACCAATGCCTACTTCCAGAATGTGTTGCGAAATTACAAAAAAGATACATCTTTGACTGTCACAAAAATGGAATCAAGTGTAGCAACAGGGAAAGGGGAAAATTTCATAAGTGTGATTATACGTGTTATTGTGGAGTATAAATCAAATAATAAAGCCTCAAAAAGCGAACCCTTTATTGTGAAATCCAAGTTAGAACACGATGTCGCCGTAACACTAATATTGGAACCATATCAAGCTGAAGCAACGGAAATGCTGATGTATGATAAAATATTGCCAATACTTAATGAATTAATAAAATTGATTGATGAGCAAGAGAAACTTTTTCCAACAGCCATTTTCGTGGACTATGAACATAGGGCCATAATATTCGAAGACCTCGCAGAATTGGGTTATACTTCAGCAGCACGTTTGAATGGCATTGATGAGGAAGTAGCGAAATTGTGTCTGGAGAATATGGCTAAGATACATGCTACTGGTTTGGTATTCAATACCATGCATCCGGGTCTTTTACAACAGTTGCATCATGGTGTTTTTAATCGCCACACTAGAGGATTTGCAGCATATTTCGAAACTATTATGGAAGTTTGTGCAAACTTTGCTGGAGATTGTGTTGATTTAGGAATTTATTATAAGGAAAAACTATTAAAATTAAAAGATAATATGATGGAGTGTGGAGCTAGAGTTTTTGATGTGAAACCAGACTTCTTTAATACACTATGTCATGGTGATTTCTGGGCTAATAATTTAATGGTTACCTATACAGAAGAAGCAAATATATCAAAAATAAAAAATGTTTTGGCTTTGGATTTTCAATTTAGTGTTTGGGGTAGTCCAGCAGTGGATTTACATTTATTTTTTAACACATCATTGAGACATGAATTACGTCTTCATAAACAGAAAATATTAGTCGAATATTACTATGGGATTTTGACAAGAACTCTGCAAAAATTAAACTACACAGGCGATGTGCCAACACTAAAAGATTTATGGGTGCAGTTAGAGGCTAAACGTTTTTATGGTAATTAGTTCAATATATTTTTCAATGATTATTTTATTTAATGTCTTTGATTATATACTATATCTAATAATTAACGAATTTAATTTTTTTTTTGTGTTATAGCGGTTACTGCGTCACTTATAGTACAACCAGTATTACTAAATGAGAATAATGAAGACGCCGATTTTAATGCTTTAGTATCTGATGATGAAAGAGGTCGGAGACTTCGTAGCATATTGTATACTAATAAAAAGGTACAGGAATATGCTAAAATACTCATACCTTTTTTTGACCAGAAGGGACTTTTAGATGGAATAGTATAAATTGATCAATTATAATTTTTATTAGGCAACCCTGATCTTATGACTGGGATGCAAATAAAAAATTAATTAATTTTATTTTTTCATATTATATGATGGTATAAATTGATTATTTATTCAATTTACTTAAATTAGTGTGATTAATAAATAAATAAGCTCACCTAAGACTTGTTTATCAACCAGTAATTAGTTATAGCAAAGCCTACTTTTTATGCAGTATTTTATTATTATTTAATACTTATAATATAGGTTACTTTAGGTTGTACCAACGATCCTAACGGGACCCACTTAGGCCTATAGGCCCAATGTGCTACCGTAATATTAAAAACTCAAGAATTAAAACCTCTAGAACTTTTGGCAAAGCTTATGATGCTATTGAAAAGAAAATCCTGAAGTTCGCCATGATCCTCAAAAAAGAAAGCACGCACCTGTGCCGGACAGAAGCAAAACAGGTGGGAAGCACTTTCATCATCCTCAACACAACTGCAGCAGTTATGGTTGAAAGGGAGATTTAGTAACATCAGACCAAGCACTAATAGGGAAACCAAGCAATAGGGAATCAATGCAAACGGATGCCTGCAATAGGGGATCAATGCTGGATTTATTTTTAAGAAACGGTATATATAAAAATAAGTAAATGATTTTAAGGATCTTCAAACAGTACTGAAGTACTATTCTTAAACGGTATATATAAACGGTATATATAAAAATAAGTAAATGATTTTAAGGATCTTCAAACAGTACTGAAGTATGTACTGAAGTACTATTCTTAATAGTGTAACCATAGGTGTATGTTTTGTCATTCACAGACAAATTTCTTCGGATTTCTACTATGTTATTGACGTTTACCATTATCTCTCCTACTGAGGGTTGATAATAATGGTTTTCTGATATTCTAAAAATTGAAAGAGCATTATTTGCTTACCTTATAATACTATTACGAATTACTTTAAATTAAATATGAAATGCATAGCCGTGATATTGTGTTTTCTAATTCTACAAAGATTCAATTCTCATAGTTTAAAAAAAAATTTCTTAAAAGCTTTGCTTTATAGAATTTATTAAGTATTAGAAAACTGTAAAATCATTTCGTTTGCTATGCATTGAGTTTAGGCATGTAAAGTATCTCAAAATAAAATTTATTAAGGAATTTATTCTTTCCAAAAGTAATTAAAAATCTCACTTAATTTTATTATGTAATATATTATATATGAAATGAGTTTTTAGATAACTTAGCAAGTGCAATAAAATGAACACAAGCGCTTATTTTGCAATTTTTCTCTCGATTTCGTCTTAATAGAAATAGTTTCGTTATAATAAAATATGGCAGAGTGTAAAAAGTATCTCAAAGATTAAACGTCATCAGCTAGATTTATTACAGAATTAACAACACGAAATACTTAGATTATTCTAAGGCAGATAAAATGATTCTCAACATAATGGTTTGAAATAAATATGAGGCACGGTAATTTAAAAATTTCATTCAAACGTGGATTTCGGAAACATCGGACGTGTTAAGAACCACTTAAAACATTTGAACGGAATCTATATATATCTTTCATTAGTCCTGTAAAATAAAATAAAATCGTGTACTTAACTAACAGTGAAAATAAAAATGGTTTGTGCAAATGATGAAGATAATTTTCATCCTGCTCCAGTATGGCTTACTGCTGAGTACTTAGAAAAAATATTGCAGGAGAATAAGAAGGATAATACGATAAGAGTGACGGATTTGGAAATAAAGCCCGCAACAGCTAAAGGGGAAAATTATGCCAGTATAATGACACGTGTGAAAGTGGATTTCATAGAACAACAGAGTAAAGATACACAGCATGAATATTACATAGTCAAAACAACTTATGAAAACGATCCTGTCATATCAAAAATAATGAGTGCCTATCATGTCGATAAGACAGAAATGATTATGTATGAGAAAATCTTACCAGAACTTAGTAAATTATTGCAAGAAATCGGTGATGACAGTAAACTTTTCGCAGATACGATACATGTAGACTACGAACATTCAGCTATTATTTTCGAAGACTTAGCAGTCTCGGATTTTATTTTGGCCGATCGTTTGGAAGGCATGGATATGCTGGAATGTAAATTAGCTTTGAAAAAATTAGCTAAAATGCATGCAACAGCAGCAGTTTTAAATGTCAGACATGGTGGCATATTGGAGAAATTTGATCATGGCATATTCAATCGCCACACCAAAGGATTTGCACCATTTTTTGAAAATTTGATAGGCGTTTCTGCAGAATTTGCTGGAGAATGTACTGGTTTGGGTGAATATTATAAAGAAAAATTACTTAAATTAAAGGAGCATGTTGTTGAGTATGCCACACGTGTTTACGATCCCCAACCAGGACACTTCTTAACATTAACCCATGGAGATTTTTGGGTTAATAATATGATGGTTAGTTATGATAAATGTGGTCAAAACGGCAGTAAAGAAATTAAGGATCTCATATTAATTGATTTTCAATTTTGTACTTGGTCGTCCCCAGCAGTGGACTTACATTACTTTTTCAATACCTCGATGAGGGATGAATTACGTTTTAACCACCAAGACGAATTTATACAATACTACTATAATATTTTGGTGCAGACCCTGCATGAGCTGAAATTCACCGGTAAAATTCCAAGTCTACATGAACTTTGTGTACAATTGGAAGCGGGAAGATTTTATGGTAAGAGAATATGATAAAATAATTAACAAATGTTTTATAATTGTAACCAATAAAGAAAACAGATTTTCAATCCTTCTTACCTATATCTCTTCCTTTAGCTGTTACTTCAACTCTTGTTGTACAACCGATAATGATAAACGATAATACTGAAAATGCTGATATGAATGCCCTTTTAATGACTGATGAACGAGGTAAAAATTTCCGAAAACTTCTATACAGTAATAAAAAAATACAGAATAATGTGAAGAAACTACTACCCGTATTTGATCAGAAAGGTCTCTTGGATGTAACTGATTAGTTTTTAGTCTTAAGCTTCTATATTACTTTATTTGATATATAAAGTACAATTTGTATTACATAAGTATATATTACTATATTATTAGTATATACTATAAACGTTTAAATAAATTTAAATTTAATAATAAATCTATTATATCAAAATTTATACTGTAACTGTAAGTTTTTTTTCTTCTATGCAACTGGTCTATTAATTTTACAATAACATAGTTATTTCAATTATTTCAATTAATTTATTTTCAAAAAAATATTTTTTATTTTTCATCACTCAACTGGTGGCAATTACAGTTACAATAATGTAGACATTTTGTCACATTAACAAAATATATAACATTTAAATCTTCCATGTCTTATAAAATCTCAAAATGACTTTACTTCTACATCCATTATAAACGCAAGGAAAACCGACCAAACTATTGTCACCGAGGGATATAGTTGAAGATTATGAATTAAGTAAAAGTATTTTCCGACCTCCAAACATCGTTATCTACAAGTTCAGTTCAGATGACTTAAAAGAACTTCCTTCTCCTCATTATATGCCACACAGAATATGTATGAACCTCACTTCTGATTTAGCTTACACGGATAGAATGACATAAATGACAATGACAATGAAATGGCAAACACTGTTCATAGAACCGGACTTAGGAGTAAAATACAGAAAACAAAAATATTTTTGTAAAACCATTAGCTGACATCAAAGGTTTTAGTAACTGCTGCAGATGTAATTCATTCTTGAACAATTCCAGCTTTTGGAGAAAAAATTGATGGAACACCAGGTCGTTTAAATCGTCCTGGATTATTTTATGGACAATGTTCTGAAATTTGTGGAGCTAACATAGATTTATACCTATTGTAATTGAAAGTATTCCAACTAATTTTTTTATTAAATGAATTATAAACTATTCTAACTCATTAGATGACTGAAAGCAATTATTGGTCTCTTATTTAATTTACTGACTAACGACTTCTTCAATCTAAATTGATATATAAAGATTATTAGTTAATTCTCTAATAGGGTATGCTTTTAAATTAACATCTCTCTAAAATAAGGCTAAAAACTACTGGAACCTATACATCTGAAATCTCAAATATAAATCTGATAAATCTTCTAACTTACTTTATTCTCCGTTATAGGAAAAAAATACTGCCTTTAGATAGTATAGGAAATATTAGAACATATTAGAACGTATATAAGATTTTATTATTATTAAATAATAAGCTATAAATACTATTGTGTGCCTGAAGGCCCAACTAAAACAATTCTAAACTATTTATAAATCTCGTAATTGCTGTGGGCTTGATTTTACCTATTTGATTTGGGACTTAGATCCCGCTTATAAGGTAATCAAGTCTGCGTCTTGTCGCTGCTGGGCAGTTGCATAAAATATGTTCAGATGTTTCCTTCTTCTCATAACAGAATCTACAAGAATTACTTTCTGCCGCACCTATATTCTTTGTGGTAATCATATATAAGTATCTTATATAAGCTACTGAACATATATAAAAATTTTGATTATTATTTGGATTTGGCTTTCATTAATAGATCTAATTGATAAGGTCAGCTTTTTATGGACTAGCAACTAGAAATTTTCGATGATTATTTTTGTGTAATACTATAAATTATATAATGTATACGTAATAAGTGTAAGAACACAAATGAAATAAATGTTTCATTCATTTTATTGCAAGCGGAACATATTTCTTCTACTCTTTAATCCATAACATCAAGTAAACCCTTCTGATCAAATATCGGTAATAGTCGTTTTAGATTTTTCTGCACTCTCTCGTTGCGGAATAATGTTTTTTTGAAACGTATTCCTTCCTCGGAATTTGAAACCAAATTTTTAAAACTGGCATCTTCAGTTTCTTCACATATCATCACAGGTTGATAAATAAAAGCCGATGTTAGCGCTATAAGTAAAATAAATGATGACTAGATTTATAAGAATATACTATTTCAGAATTAAGAAATTTACCCAAAAAACTGCGCATTTCAACTTGTATTTTAAAATCAAATAAACTAGGTATATGTCCATGATATTTTATAGACCTCAACGTATTCGCTAAATTATAATAATAAAATTGAATTAATTCTGGTTGCTTATAGAGACGCAAGTCTTCCTGTAGTGAAGTATTGAAGAAATAATGCAGATCAATAGCCGGAGAAGTCCAAACTGAGAACTGAAAATCAACCGGTACAATACTTATTGGTACATTATCCGAATAACGAAACATAATATTAGACGTCCAGAAGTCTCCATGCACCAAAGTCATAAAATGCTGATCGTTAACATCAAAAACGCGTGCACCATACTCCATTGCACGTGTTATTAATGTAGAGAGCTTCTCATAATATTTCTCTTTAAGATCACTTTCACTTTCCACATAACGAGCTAAAGCTGTTAGAACGCCCTCGATTTTAGGTTGAAAGGCTGTAGTACGTCTGTTCATCATACCGCGGTCATAATTCTGAGCAAATATACCGGGCATACGCTCATTCAAAACTGCACCAGCTGCATGAAATTTCGCTAGAGTGCTTAAGACAACCTTCACATGTTCCATGTCCAGACACGTAACGCGATCTGCTGTTACAAAATTTTGTGTTGAAAGGTCTTCAAAAATAATCGCCGAGTTTTCATAGTCAACATAAACAGCGTCTGCAAACATTTTGTGTTCATAGCCAATTTCTTTTAGGATTTCCGTTAACTTAGGCAAGATTTTTTCATATATCTTCATTTCATGCGGAAACATATTAAATTCATTAATTACATTTGCTGAGACGCTATTATCTTGAAAGCATGTCTTGGCTATATAGGACGAGGTCTGCATATCCTTTTTATATTGTACACTGTAACTTACTTTTATACGCCACATTATGCTTAAGTAGTTTTCACCTTGCGCTGTTGCCGGCACTATTTCTAAGTTTATTATTTTAAGACTAGTATTATTGTGATAGATTTGTAATTTATGCTCCAAGTAGCCGCACGTAAGCCAAGCTGGAGGAGTTGGTGCAATATTATTAGTATTTAACGGAGACATTCTTAAAGCTCTTGAATGCTTAGCTACCAAATATCAAGTACAACCAACCACATTAACGCAAAAGTTTTTATACAAATTTCAGAATATTCAAATCTGACAGTGCAGTAGTTTTAAAAATATTTTGAATGAAGGGTAGCAAAAACCCTTTCTTATATTTATGCAGATTACTAGTTTGTTATGTGGTTAGTAAGATAAAAATTTACAAAGAATTAATAATAATAATTTAATTTTAAATTTAAGACACAATTATCTTAACTTGAAAAAGTTAATACTTTTACTATATACGAAATAGTTAAGCAGACTTGATATCTGCTTAACTCCAAACTACTGTCTTATAGTTGCTTTTGCTTGAATTTCAAAATATATGTAATATTTAGTTATCTACGCTACTTTATGCCATGAGAATAAACTAGCATCTAGTAATAAACTTTTTAATAAATAAAAGAGCTTCATTTGTTTTATACAATCTCTTAAATGTTATTTAAACAAATTAAATAATGACATTGCAAAAATACAGAAGATTATAAAATTGTATTATCTCAACAGAAAGAACTATCTCGACTATTCATTTTTTTATATATATTAACAACTATACCACAATGGGAATTATTGTTAATTTACAACAAATTTTCACAGATGGTGATAAATTACAAGTATCAAATTGTTATTATTGGATATTATTTTTTTCTATTTTTGAGATAACATAATGTTCTTTTATTAGATAAAATAATAATTTTATCTATTTCATAAATGCTATTGTTTTAAACATTTAAACTAAAAATCCCAGCCAGCATATTCCTTAACAACATCCTTGTTCTCTTTGCGATGACGCTGTGTAGCATTCGCTTCACCCTTCACAACAGCACGTTTTCGTATTTCACGTTTTTCCTTTACATCCATATTACGTTTAATTCGATCTGTTATTACGGATGGTGCAATTGTGCTTGCAGTCGTTGAATGTGAACGCTCACTGCGTGCATCATTCAAAAGTTTTCTGAACATTTGTAGACGGTACATACGGGAGTTAGGATCTAAATCAGTAAGTACATCTGTGTCTAAATCATTTGAGCTTATCGATGCTGCATCTGAGTGCACATCATCTGTGGCAGTATCTATGCTGTCGATAACAGCAGCTCTATTTGTTTCATGGTTTCTATTCTCTTTTCTCATATCATCATTCATATTAGCAGATTCATTTATACTGTCTTGTTTTACAGTTTCTGTTGCTTGATAATCTGCTACTATATTACGATCTTCAGATAGATCAATTTCAGGTTCTATACCAAAACTGCCCAAATATTGTGTACAAGACTCAATGTAGCGTCTAATAGAGTCATCGGTTTTTTTGGGTGGTTTTGTTTCACTAAATGTAACTTCATTTTCCAACTGCTGACGATATACATTGATATCGGCTTCTGTAGTTGTAACAGGCGTGTCTGTTTCATGATGTTGGTTAGTTTTAGAATCTTCTGTTTCATCTTCATCTATCATGCCATATTCCTATATAAAGATTTTTTTAATAACATTCTTTTTTATAATATAACAAATATTACATACCAACAGCAAATCATTTTCCATTTCTTTCGTGAAGCCATAACCAGTGCAGTGTACCTCAGCATCCAAATCATCTTCACGTATCAAATCGTTAAATTTTGGATATTCCTCACTTTCATAACCAAATTTACGTCTAAACATTTCGCGTACACAGTTCACATCACGCTCAAAGAAGCTGTAAGTTAAAGTAGTTTTAATCGTTGAAATATTTATTTTAATTGAGTTATTAATTGAGAATTATTAAATTATTTAGCATTATGAAAATGCTAAATCATATGTAAATATCAAAAGTTATAATAAAAAATTACTGCAATATAGTGCTCCACACTTTATCAACTAATTGATCTATTTAATATCTAATTCTCCTTCTGAGTTACCAAATGGATCTAAAATATTTTTCGATTCCAATTTTTAATATTCCTATTTGCAATTTATAACACTTATATATATATAAAGCAGAACTATAAACTGGTTTTAAATTCCATTAATTAACTAAAACTGAATAGAGAAGAGAATATGTATATTTCTGCATACTTTAGTTTCAATATGTAAGTACAGAAAAAAGACTTCATATTAATTAACAAATGGCTCAACCTTGTCAGAAGAAAATAATAATGCCTTTTATATCTAAACCTACAGTTGCTGAGAACAAAAGTCACCTCCAATGCACAACAAGAAATTTCCTAATGTGTTGCGCTCAAAATATGGCCCAAAATATGACCCCAATGCCATGATGTCGTGTTTTCTTTCTTTACTCATTCTAACTCTTTACTTCATCCTGGTTTTGACTAAGATGATTATGGGCTACAAGATCTCCCAATACTACTCATCAACTCGAGGACAAAAAAAAGCAAAAGGACAAAAATAAACATATTATACTTAAATACAAGCAACTGTTATATGTCTGTATAGCTGTAAATTCTCGGAAGAAGACAATAGCGTGTTTGCATTTCTATTTTTTCATACTAGTGCTTGTGGGATCCATGGAGATACTAAATTAGTTAAATTACTGGTAAATATAAAATTGCTTTCTTATGACATCAGACTTTGAAATGCAGCAGATGAGCATATGAGCCTCTGAAGTACAAATTCATTGGTTTCAGCCGTAAGCCAGCAGATATCTTTCCAATTGACCATATTTAGATACTTTTCACAATATGGAAGAATTTCATAGCAGTATCTCTAATATATTTTCACTCATAACTTTATCTATGTCACATTTACTTACATAGCAAGATCGTTTTACCCGTCTTCTTAGAGCTTCATACCAAATGAATAAAGTTTGTTTTAAGCAATTAGAGCCGCATTGCAGCCATTAGAGTTTGAAGTTTTAGAATGCACAACAGTCGTTTGCACAATCATTATAAAAACTGCATTTACTAATTGCTACTGGTAAAAATTTCTTAAAGTAAAAGATATTTTTGATTGTAATCAATATAAAAAGTTTACAAATTAAAAGGCAGATGCCTTAAAAAGTTAGTTATATCAACATATAGCGTAGTAGGAAAAAGTTGCTCAGTATATTGTAATTTAAAAAAATCTGTTGTCCAACTGTGTTTCTGTGAAATTGGGACTGTTGTTGTTGTAATCTGCTTGACGAAGGTAGTGTGCTGTTTATCCTTCTAATAGCCAAACAATAGAATAGTATTCTTTTCGTGGCTTCTTAACGTACCAAGCACTTCTAGACATCACCTGCTTTCATATCGGTTTAAAACATAACTAACAAACTATTTCCAAAACCCTATATATATATATATTATTTTTCGATTTAGTTAAGAGACAGCTCCTGTTAACTTGCTTTCATCTAATAGCAAGATTTTATTGAGAAATTCTTTCTATGCTTATGGAATGCGATGATTAAAACAACTTCCTGATAATGTTCTTTAATAGGACAGAATTATTAGATCAATAATTTTCACTATAGATGGTGAACTATATAAACTAAATATCTAATTCAACATTATTTCCTCAGCAAGGAAACCGAATTTGATGAATTTAATAAATAAAGGTAACAGTTTTTGTTGTTTAATGTGGAACCTTCGTGAAATATACATTATTTTTTATTGACAAAATATGAGAATATTTAAAATTTACTTAATGATTTTAATAAGTTTTGGCAGCAAAGTTGTTCAGATTTTTTAAATTTAATTCTAAAACTAACTAATACATAATGATAGCTATAATGGCATAGTGATTAGGCTAAAACAACAACTATAACAACAACAGCATAGATTTAATAACTAGATGAGAAGATAAACGCAAATAATTAGATTGATTGAACTTACAATTGTGCGTTTTCATGTGAAGTCGACATCATTTGTGGAAAATCAATTAAGATTGGTTTGCCTTCATCGGTAAGCATCAGATTGAATTCATTGAAATCACCATGTATTACTCCAGAATTTCCCAGACGCACAATTAAATTCATTAAATCATCATAAACTTGTTCAACATCAATTAATTCATGGATTTGAGTCCTGCAAACAGACCAGTTAAAACGTAGCCAACTAAATTAAATTTAATATACTTACATTGGCCAACCATTCACCAACTCCATTAATACACAATGACGGTTAAAATCAATTGGCTTCGGCACCGGAAAACCACGATCATGCAAAGCAGTCATGTAAGCAAATTCACGCGTTGCCGATATGCGCGACAAATACAACCACGAAGCCTTGTGACGTCTACCATGATAATCACGTTTTGATTTAATATTGCGAAAGCATGTACGACCCAAACGATGCAATTTTAAACAAATTTGCGTGCCTTCATCATCAGCCACAACGTAGATATTTGATTCCTTGCCCACGCCAATCTGATTACCAAACGATGCAACCGAACCACGTAATGTTAAGGATTTAAGTGCCAAATAGTCGTAACCAGTATTTGTGAGACGATAGCCATCATCTTTATATTGATGTTTTATTATATAAATATATCAAATAAATATATAAATAGGAAATAAAAACTTACATTTCTTGCCACGCTCGTATGACAACAATTTATGTTTGCACAGTTCTCTTAGCATTTTATGGACACCTCCACTTTTTAAATTGGCAATCATTGCAGCTAAGTTGCCTGGCACTAATTCGTGGTTTTTCATGCCCATTTCAATCTATAAAAATTAATGAGCAAGAAAAATTTATTTGTTTTAAAAAGTTAATTATTAATTCAAAAGTACGCACCGCAGTTAGCACACGAAAATCTTCTTTTGTTAGATAGCGCAGCACTGTTACGTTCAGTTTACCCATTGTAAAAATAATTTATATGCAGTTTTAATAGTTTAGATTCACTTCTTACATATGTTGGAAAACAATATTTAATCATTTAAAGTTTCCACACGTGCGTTGTTTATTAAAAACAATACGAAAAGGGAGCTCATAAGTACAATCAGATGTTTTTGACAACTCTTTTCTTCGTTAATCGCGCCATCTGTTATGTATTTTGTTATATTAAAAAGGAACGAGTAAAACAAAACACATAAGTAATACAGCGCATTTTTATTTACGTGCTTATTAATTTAAGTTTTTTAATTATTTAATAGGATGGACTCTCATCCTATACTTATTATTTTGTAGTCGCAATAAACTGTTATAAAATTGTTATAATAATTCTAGCTTGTTTTAGGCAGGTGCCATTAAAGTGTGCTGCAGCAATTAAATAAGGTGGTACGTTTAACAAGAAATGTGCATTTTAAGAAATGCAATATTTTAACATTTTGTATTAAAAATATTTAATTACTCCATTTACAGAATCTTATTCATCTAATCTAAATTTATACGGTTAACGATAATTGCATTTAGTGTAGAAATGAACCTAATTAAAACTTTTGTGTTATGCTATGTTCAGACACACCTTAATTTCGTAAAAATCTTAAGTTGATCTTCGTTTCAGCGGAATTAAGTTGTATTTTCCATACAAAATTCAGTTTTACGATTAAAACGAAATTAAGCAAAATGGCACTCATTTCGTTTAAACGAAGGCTGAAATTAAGGGACATTTCGAATACAAGTGTGCGTTAGATGAATTTTAAGCAAAAGATAAAGTTGAGATAACGAAAAGGTGTCATTTTTTTAAATAAATGTTGCCATTGACATTTGACAGTTGACTTTAATAAAACCGGGAAATGTTTTGAAAGTAGTGCAAAGTTTTAAATTTGAATATAAAGAAAGAACTGTAACTGTTATTAATTTAAAATATAGTGAAAAATAATAATTCACATACCAAAATTCCACTAAAGCTAATAAAACCACTAAATGCCACGCTTCATAGATATAATAATAAACTCTTTAAATATTCCAGATACAAATGGTGTTTGGAGCATGTAATTTTAACATTCGATTTTTGAACAAAAAGCATATGATTTCCTTAATTTGAGCATTTTCGAAATTAACTTAATTTCATTTTGACGAAATTTATAAAACATTTTTAATTGTTTCATGGTATACTTATAGAGCTAGAAAAAAATACAATTTTTCGTTTTAGTGGCAGTTCATTTCAATGAGCTAATGCTAGAATTAATAGTACAGCTTACATAAACTTAAAAGTAACCACTTTTAATCACTGACATTGTCTTGTCTGGGTTTAATTTTTTAATCCAAAGTATACTTTTGATATTATTTGCTCTAATCTGATTTACTACAGGGTATTTACATGTTCTCGTTTCGTTTTCACTGTTCCTTTTTGTTTTGTTTTTACCGAAGTATTTTGCAAATGTTTTTGTTGATAAACAATTTGGAAAAATAGTAATTGCCGTTTTTGTTAGATTAATATTTTTTATATTTTGTAATTAAAAATGCAATACCAAAATAAGTGTTGCAATTAACAACTCAAATAAACCACTTTGGGCAGTAAGATCCTTAAAAATTTCAATCTAAGTGGTGTAGTTCCTATCTAAAGTTTACGGAATTAATCATCCTACCATTCATCAGGGATCCAACAAAGGAATCCTACTTACAAAATAACATTAACATGTAAAAATATTGCTAAAGTATGGATGGCTCAAAACTCTTAATGAGTGTATGACAGCATTTGATTGCATCGGTTTCCAAGCGATGCATCAGCTTACGTGGGAGTAATACCAAAAATAATAGTCCTCTTATTATATATTATAAATTACAACTTAGCAATTAACAAGAGCAACAATTATGTCCGAAGACGTAAGATAATATGTAATTAACACATTCCTGAATTGGTTTGAAGAAGTCTTTGAAAAAATGATTTTTCTAAAGACACTAAAACTGATATTTAATGGTGAGACATTGGTCATTTATAGCTGTTTTAATACACGGTATTAATTAAATGGTATATTCATATAAATTATAAAATAAAAAATTTTTTAGAAGTCATCATTGCATAAATCCCACAAAAAATTTCAATATTTTATTTGGAGGATTTCGTTCTAAAATTCTTCAATTAATTTTTTTGCTAGAAACTGCTTACTTGATCTACAATCCAACACAATACAATCGGTCATCCAAATGAAAGATTCAAGTGAACCGAAGTTTTATTCTAGCGCTTCGCCTTTGCCAATCTCATAATGAACTTCACAATTAAAGAACCGATGTCAACACGGACCTAATAAAACCTGACCTAATAAAAGAATGCCATGTAAGTTTTATTTTATTCAAAAAAATATTCTTCAACAAACTCGATCCAAAATTGATCCACTGATAAATAGCTTGAATAATAGAAGAATAGAAGTACAGCGAGGGATCTATTAGGGGCATTCCCGTATACCCCGTATACAAACGTGCAAAGGCACGCGAAGCTAATTAAAACTGTACGAATTCCTGCGCTATACGGGGAAATGCTCACGTTATACGAGGGTTTGAAATCGGGAGATTACTGTATTTCCTTTTTTACGCATTTTTCTATTCAAAATAGATATAAAATTTCTACAAATTGATTTTCTATAGTCCTCTATTAATCTAGTTAGTTTGATCCCAATTGTGGTTGCTTTTTCTTTTTAGAGAAAACTGATTAAACTCCATACCTATACTATAGAAAAAAATGTTTTCATTCTATATTCGTTATAGATTATAGTTTCCTGTAATCTGTCGTCCTTTGACAGTCTTGTTTTATAATTATTTATTTTTGAAATTTATCGAATAATATATTCTAGTTCCGAGACGGTTAAATTCAGTCTATAATATAATACTACGTTTTTATAATTAATTTTTTATATATCTTAATATTAAGTTGTTCAATATGATTAAGTTTTTTCTAATTTATTTCATTCAGAGTTTTGTATTAATAAATATATTGCAATCAGAAATATATTAAAAATATATTAAAATTTTGTAAAGTATCAGCAGTTTTCTTCCGAACATTTCACTATAACTTTTTTATATCCAATATTTGCTTCGTGTTGCGCTGTGTCGAAAGCAGTTTGTATTTGATTCCATCCAAAGATTTTTCGTACCATACAGCACATTTGTGCCTTACCAGTTGACATTAAATGTAAGGCGGTCGGAAACCTATATGAAACTTTAGTTATTATTAATGCGATATGATATGTAATAGATAAGCTTACATATTTGTAAATCTAAAACTTGGCACCAGTCTTAGATTTTTCATAAGTACGTCTATTGCATTAAAAGTAGCACACTCCGATTCGCACTCGGCTAGCACACAAGTTCCACAGGGTTGCAGTGCCATTACAGCAATATTCATTGTCTGCTCTGATACCGAACAGTTTATGACTACCTCTGGCCAATTATTCAATTTGGCCCAAATCGCATCTAGTATCTGCCGATGACTTGTATCACAATCATAATAAACATAATCAAAGTCGAAACATTTTCGCATTTGTTCCAGATTTTTATGCATATTACACACCACGCAAATGCTGTGTACTCCCATAGATCGCGCACAAAGTGCAGCTGCGATTGCAGTAGGACTGGAACCCATAATAAGTAGTCTTGTTAATGGTGTTATGTGTGTCTTAAAGCAAGCCTGGCAACCCAAGGCTAAGGTTTGCGTTAATGTTGCTTCTTCCAGTGACACTGATTCGGGTATTTTATGACAAAGATCAGCTGGATGTACTTGATATTTCGTTAAAAAACCGTTATAAAGGAGTTGCGCACACATATTGTATGCACCTCGTTTGCAAAAGTCGCAAATTCCACAAGATAAACCAGATTCCATCGCTACTCTGTCACCTGGTTTTAGATTGGTTATACATCTTCCCACCTATGTTAACGAATTGAATAAAAATCAAGAAATACTTTTCGAAATTTTAGTCTACAAACTTTTTGTACTGTTCCCGAAGCATCATGTCCCAACGTCATAGTTGGACACAACTTTCCACCAGTTTCATACAGATGTATGTCAGAACCTGAGATAGCTACCGAATCCGTCTTTATAAGTACATCTAAAAATGCCCATTTTATTAAGATTATATTTTATAACATATTTTTGTCTTCTTATTTATTAAGATATTTACCATATTCACTGAACATTGGCATTGTTTCAGAAACTTTGGTGAGTTTACACACGTCTACAACTTTCACTGCCTCATTTTCACATTCATCATTGCTTTCTTCACATGGATCTGGATCTTCGCATTTATTTTCTTTATTGCAACATTCAACCACTTTCGAACTAAACATTCTAATAGGCCCCGAAAAATTTCGACATGGTATTTGATAATTATTTTTTGAAAAAGTTGTACAATAAGACCCCTTTTGAGAGTACTTATTTTCTACCTTGTAGTAAAATAAAAATTTAAAGTCAAAAAGTTAAAAAATGTGAAATAAAAATATAATTATTCAAAAACTTTGAAAATAATGTATTAGTTATAACCCGCTTAAAAAGCGTTTTAAAATGTATGAGTCTTTCCAAATAAAGTGGCATAAATGCTGTTCATTCCTTAGTCCAAGAAATGTACCAACAAAAGATTTGAGAGAAATAAGTAATTATCGAAAAAAACTTTTAAATCCTTTTAATAACAAAGCCATATGACCAAACAATTTTAAGGATATTTAGTGAACTGAGCTGAAGAGCGTTTTTGATCAAGTTTTACTTGTCAGCCTGCATCTTGATGAATATATATTAGAAGTTGGGATCCTTCATTTACAATATTTTTCTTTAATAGACCAAAAAAAAAAACAACTACTATTTTTTAATTAATAAAAATATTTGATTCTTAAGACCAGAATCGACATAAATTTGTAAAAGATAACAAACCACTTCCTTTATAAAAAAAACCCCACCTTTTAATATATCAAAATTCGAGATCATATAGAACTGACAGTAGCTATCATTATAATCATAATTATATATTGCAATTGTAAAATTATTTATGTAGTATGAACTATGTATGTATCTTACGTTTTTTACATTTCTTTTCCTTCTTCTTCTGCTTCTTGCAGTTTGGTTCCTTGCACAATTTCTTACCGCATGGATTGTCATCATTTTTGAAACAGTCAGCACCATCTTTACGGCGTATTGTTTTGCGTTTTTTAGGAATGACAGGTCTTCCCTCTATGCATTTACCTGAAGAGCCCTTATCAGCGAAGCTCCTAATACAACTCAGTGATAATACTCTTAGTTCTAGTTTTGTTTTCCATGTTGACATTGTTGTGTGATATTGACGATGTGGAAATATATTCGTTAAGTTTGGTACGAATGCCAATGTACTGAATTTTTTGTCGCTTCCCCCACCGCATTTGGGTTTTGTTGGTTTAGTAGGTTTGTTGCATGCGCCTTTTTTGGCTTCTTTTTCTAGACTTTTACAAGGATCTTCTGTCTTACATTTTGCGTTCGCTTTTTTCTTGCAAGGATCTGCCTTCTTAGACTTACATGGATCTGCGCTCTTCTTTGATTTACATGGATCCGCCTTTTTAGATTTGCAAGGACTTGCTTTCTTGCTTGATTTACATGGATCTGCCTTCTTTTTAGCCCCACATGATCCTGATCCTGAAGCTGCTTTATCTCCGCCTTTATTGCATTGTGGATTAGTTTTTTTCATTTCTTTCTTGCAAGGACCTCCACTTTTCTTTGCATCTGCCTTTTTAGCCCCACACGGATCTGCCTTCTTTTTAGCCCCACATGATCCTGATCCTGAAGCTGCTTTATCTCCGCCTTTATTGCATTGTGGATTAGTTTTTTTCATTTCTTTCTTGCAAGGACCTCCACTTTTCTTTGCATCTGCCTTTTTAGCCCCACACGGATCTGCCTTCTTTTTAGCCCCACATGATCCTGATCCTGAAGCTGCTTTATCTCCGCCTTTATTGCATTGTGGATTAGTTTTTTTCATTTCTTTCTTGCAAGGACCTCCACTTTTCTTTGCAT